GGGGACCCAGGAGAGGGGTAGGGGGGTGTCATGGGGACCCAGGAGAGGGGCAGGGGGTGTCACAGGGACCCAGGAGAGGGGCAGGGGGTGTCATGGGGACCCAGGAGAGGGGCAGAGGGGGGTGGAAGGTGCACAGGGAGAAGTGCAGGTCCTTTGGTCAGCGGTGCCAGCTTCTCCAGCCCATTCCCACAGGGACAATGAGGCAGGGCACTGCTTCCTAGCGGCTCAGGGCCTCGGCCACCGATCGAGCGCAGACTCCTCTCCTTTCTGGTTTCCAGGCCCCTCCGTGACCCCCAGCCAGCCACCCACAGAGGCAGCCTCCTCCGCGACAGGTGGGTCCAGGCCCTGGGGCCAGGGTGGGGGCACGGGGACCCCTTCCTTCTCCTCGGGCTCCTGGATTTGCCAGGGGCCTCTTCCACAGGTGCGCGGTTTATAGGAGCCTTTACTTCAGCCAGTGGTGAGGGTGGGAATCACAGGCCCCTGGACCCCGACCTGCTGCCCAGGGCTCCCGGTCCCACTGGGCCATGGCGTGTGAGGTCCCAGGTGCAGCGAGGCTCCAGGCAGCTGTGACCCTGCAGAGCCTGGACCTGGCCTTGGAGCCTCTGGTCCCAGCCCTCAGCGGTTCTCCGGCTCCTGCGGGCCTCAGAGTCACCTGGGGGGCTTCTTAAACAGACCAATCAGCCCTGGGTTTCTGAGTCCTCGCGTCTGGGCTGGGTTCCGCCATTTCCCACGGTCCCCGGAGAAGCCAATGCAGGGTACTGCCCTGAGGGAGGCTGCCCTAGGTCTCCTGTGTGCGGAGACCCTGTTTCCTGAGCCCGGTGAGCTGGAGCATGGCCTGGGCTCACAGCCAGTGCACCAGGCGGCACCGCCCCCTTCCCTGGGTCTGGGGGTGGGGGTCAGGCACCAGGCGCCACACACCCTGTTGAGAGGAGCCAAGGGAGGCCAGGAGGCCAGCAGCAGGACCAGCAGGACCCTGGGGATTGCTTGCACTTCCCACTTGTTAAATCATTTTTTCTATTCTATTTTTTTTTACGGGGCGGGGGTGGGGGCAGGAATACCAGGATTGAACCCAGGGGCACTCATCCACTGAGCCACATCCACAGCCCTTTTTGTATTTTATTTAGAGACAGGGTCTCACTGAGTTGCTCAGTGCCTTGCTGTTGAACTCTAGGTCCTCCTGTCTCAGCCTCCCGAGCTGCTGGGATTATAGGAGTGTGCCACTGCACCCGGCTTCTACTCATCAGGAAAAAAAACAAAAGCATGTGTATACACAACACACACACACACACACACACACACACACACACACACACACACATTTAGTTCTAGATGGACACGACACCTTTATTTTGTTTATTTAGTTTGTTTTAGTGTGGTGCTGGGGATCGACCAGAGCCTTGCACATGCTAGGCGAGCGCTCCACCCCTGAGCCCCAGCCCAGCCCTCAATCACTTGTACACCCTCTCCCACGTCTCTGTCAGTGCGTCACAGTCAGTCGCACGTGACGGTGGGGCTTGGGGCTACACATCTGTACAGGCACACAGTGTGACAACGAAGCTGGCCGATGCCGCTCCCCGCACTGCCCCTCCATCCCCCCTTCCACCCCTCAGTCCCTTTCCTCTGCTAACCGCCCTTTGACCTTTAGGAGGTCCCTTCCCCTCTGTAGCTTCTGCATGTGAGAGAGAGCACAGGACCCTTGACCTTCTGCGTTTACATGATGGTCTCTAGTTGCCCCCATTTTCCCTTCTTCTTTAAGACTGAACAAGTCTCCGTTGCATGTACCCATCAGATCTTCTTTATCAGTTCATCCACGCATGGACACCTGGGTTGGATCCGTAGTGTGGCTACTGTGGGCTGTGCTGCTGTGAACACGGGTGTGTAAGGTGACTCTGAACCTTCAGGATAGACACCGAGGGGTGGTAACTGGCCACAGGGCGGCTCCGAGCCTGGTCTTTGAGGAGCTCCATGCTGATTCCCGCACTGATTCACAGTCCCACCACAGTGTGGACACGTCCCTCTTCCTCCACACCCTCTCCAGCACTGGTCGTCCATGTTCTTGATGCCTGCCCTCCTGCCTGCTGTGAGATGAGATTGCCGTGTAGTTCTGATCTGCACCCCCTGATTTTAACAGCCCTGGACATTTTTTGTGTATGTGTTGGCCATTTAGATTCTTCTTTTGAGAAGTGTCTGTCTGGTTCACTTGCCCATTGATTAATTAGGTTATTGAGTTTTTGGTGTACAGTTTCTTGGGTTCTTTAGATATTCTAGATACTAATCCTCCCTTCTGTGGGTTTTCTCTGCACATTCCTAACTGCTTCCTTTGCTGTGCGGCAGATCTTCTATTTTAAAATAACAGAGAGTCGTGGGAAGTTTGCAAGGACAGCACAGAATGATCCTGTGTCCCCTTACCCACCTCCCCTGATGGCTCCATTTTACATAATTAAAACACAACACAAAGGCCAGGAGTCTCGCATTGGCATGAAGCATGTGTATGGCTCTGGGTCCATCTGTCACAGGGAGATTCATGTGGCCACCACTGACCTCATGCACAGGACTCCTTGTCCCCCACAAGGCCTCCCCTCGGCCACCCCAACTTAGTCAGCCAAAGACCTGACCAGAAGGTGTGGAGGAGGAAGAGTTGGTTTGGCTCTGGGTTTCAGAGGCCTCAGTTCATAGATGGCTGACTTCATGGCTCAGCCCCACAGAAGGCAGGTCTCCTTGGCAGAAGGACATGGTGAGGGAAGCAGGTCAGAACCTGGCACCAGGAGGGGGG